CAGTAACGCAGCGTTCCTACGGGAAAGTAACGGTAATCTAATTACCGTTTTTGCAATAGTAATCCCTTACTTTACTCATTACTTGAAAAAAGTAATCGGATTACAGTAATGCGTTACAAGTAACACATTACTGCCCATCTCTGGAGGTGTGTTTGCTTTATGTGCAGTTGGCTCATCTGTACTTCTGTGTTTTTAAAGAATAAATACCTCATGGCACGACCACATCCAACAGCATATCTGCAAATCTGAGAGGAAACTCTGCTGCTAACAAACCTGCTACAATAAGCCATTAACACTAACAAAACATACAGTAACATCAGAGTCGTTCAGCTGCTCAGAGGAACGACTCCAGAGAGGCAGGGATGATGGAGGGGTTGAATCTCGACATGACTCTGCACTGAGGGGGTTTAGCCAGAGTGACTATGCCACAGGCCAGATTATCATCTTACAAAGCACCTAATGCTTTGTAAGATGATTAAATCTATTTCTGGAGGGATTTATTCCATAGCAGAACTCTGAGATTGTCTTGATGGATGCTCTATCATCCAGGTAAGGAAATCCCCAAAGGTTGACTCTGTTCATCTGGACGTTTCAGCCGACTGCAGGTTTCCCCGGTCCTACAGTACATTTGCATAATCATTACAACTAGCACCACTGGTGAACAATGGGCTGTGAGGTCCGTTTTTTGATCATTAATATGCAAATTATTATGACCATTGATGAGCAACCATTGACCACTGATCTATGCTTGCAATGTCTACATCTTTCTCACCATTAAAGGAATTTATAAGATGTGTTTGGCTATATCTTTAGATGTTAGCAGTAACGAATGTGCAACAACTGCACACACTAATAAAACCTTATAATGATGCTGTCAGTTTGAAGCAGTCAGTTGTGGTTTTGGAAAATATTGGACGATCTTGCAGCACCTTTACTCTGTCCACCAAGTGTCTCCCTGACTGGATTTGCCATCAAAGCTGTGATCATGACGTTGCACCGTATTTCTACAGCATCACAGCAAGTTAGTAATTAAAGTCAAACTTATGAGAAAGGTGACCCTTTGGAAACAAATCAGTGTGATAAGAACTATTAATAAAAATGAATCTGAGGAGAACTTTTTGTTTTAGCTTGACGCAGCAACAATCTGGAACCTGTGACGGTCGTTCATGTTGTAAACCAGCCCACGCTACCCTTGCATTCACTCTTCACAAGGTCACTAACACAGTGATCTATGTGTTTACAAAAGCTTTTATTTTGAAAATCACCACAGTATGAACTTAAAGCAAATGCTTGATACACTGTGGCTGTGCGACTTACCAAGAAGAGCTTCAAACAGGTTGCTTTTGAAAATCCCCATCACTCTTTGAATGGCAGTTTTGAGCTGCTGCTCCTCCGGTTTCCTCAGGTTAGTGCAGTATTCCTCCAAAAGTGCAAGGGCTCGAGCTGTGTCTGCAGAGCACAGAGGGAAAAAGGCTCTGGGGTTTCCTTGGTTTATTTTTCTCATGGATAATTTATACATTGATCTGGTAATATTTAATATCTTGTGCAAAAAGGTTGATTCTCTTCATCGAGACAGCATGTTCAGTGGGAGAAACGTTTGTCACTTCTTCAGCTGACTGCAGGTTTCCTTTGCATACTGACTGAAACTAGCCCACTGAGGAGAGGATGCCACACCGAGGATGGGGACAAGTGGGTGAAAAATGTGTCATCAAAGCAGAGAAAAACATCCTTGCAAAAGTGCTGAACTTTGCTGTGCCGCCTAGACAGATCCTGCCTCAGAAACAAGCGATTTGAAACAACAACATTGCAGACGTTGAACGTCGGCCTGTCTCAGCAATGCAAGGCCACCAGCATCCAACATCAGGAGGAGAGGAAGGTACTCACATCACTTATTAATGACATTATCATCCTTCAGGCAGACATGGGTCGGTTTGCTAAACCAGAAAGACTATCATGACCCGTCGGTAAGCAGCTTGAATTTAGTTGAGAGGTGAGAGATGTCAGTATGATGATGATGGTCTCGTACTGTTACATCTCTCTTCAGTTGTGCTCCAGTCACTGAAGCAGTGGAAGTAAGAGATGACAGGATGACCTCAGCA